GGATCTACTGGGATTCTGAAAGTACTGGGCCTTAAAGATGGACACCGTGCAGAGTTTGTATTGCCCCCCAGCCCAACCCTCCCTGCCCCCAGCCAGCGATGCCAGACACGGAGACAACAGTCTTTTGCAGGAAGAAAAAGTCTTTATTGCAGGGCGGCCACGCAAGGAGCCAGGAAGCAGAACTCTCAGATCTGTCTCCCAGATGGCAAGGTGAGGTGGATATTTAAAGATTGGGCTCTGGGGCCGTGAAGAAAAAGGGAGGGTGCTGTGCTTACAAAGGCTAAGGAAGTGCCAAGTTCCTATGCACAGGCCCAAGCAGGTTTCCTGTCTCTGCATGTGCAGGTTCCAGGGAGTTGGTATGAAGCAAGAGGTGGCAATTGGGGCTGTGATATTGTTACTGATCAGGGTTCTTGGCCTCCTTAATCAATAGAAATTGATCAGACGCCAGACAGGAAATTCAGGCAAGACTTTATTGGGGCCCCTGCTGCAGCAGGGGGGAGCGAGAGCAAACAACAGGTTCCCGCACTTGCTTGCCTGCTTGTGGTGGGGGGAGGGGAGGGCCGAGAGCTGGCTCCTTATATGGGGTTAGGGTAGGGGTGTGTCCAGGGGTCAGGCTGGAGGGGTGGCCTAGGTGTTTTGCCGACCTCTTAGGTGGCGTTTTGTGCTTCGGGCACTCTCAGTACCCTGCTTTTGCTCCCGACCCCCTGCTTTTGCTCCCTGCTCTTCAGAAGTGGCAGTTGGTCTCTTTTGGTCTTTTTGTATCTTGTTGTCCATAATTTGGCCCAGCTGCACATGTACAAAGGATATAATTATTATTGTCTCACATGCTTGGTGAGACAAAGCTTAGTAATACTAGGAACTAAAACATTCTCATAATTAGAACTTGCTCATCAAGTTTAGTCCCTTATAGTTTCTTTGTATTTTGTTGCTTGAGGAGACGCTTGTCCAGGTGCAAGCACTGCAGCAAAGTGTCCCACGTCCCAGGCCCTAGGTCCCAGCCTGTCTCAATATCAAAGGGTCACCAATCGGACAAGCAGGTTTATTCTGCCCAAAGTTTGATCAGCCATCTTGGCTCCAGCTGGTTTCAGCCCGTCTTGCTGTGTTAGACGCAGAGGGGATTTCAACAGGTTGTTTCTTTATCTGCTGTTCTGTAAGACAAGCTCAAGAATTTGTGTTCGTTACCAATTTTTTTCTTTTAACCCTATGGGGCAGGCTCTCACTTGTGGGGAGGGAGAGTGTGATGTAGGGAAGGCTTTAAGGGGGAGAGGTCACCTGAAGGATATGTAATTTGGGATGAGGAAGAAGAAAGGATTTTTCAGAGGGGAGGCATGTAGGAAGGCACAGAGTTACTGAACATGCTGGTGTATTTGGAAAAATGCATGTGCATCCAAATGACTGGAATATAAAGTGTGAGGAAAGAAGTGTAGATGTCCAATTATATATAGGATAAACAACAAGGTCCTACTGTATAGCACAGGGAGCAATATTTAATATCTTGTGATAAACCATAATGGAAAAGAATATGAAAAAGTGTCTGTATGTGTATAACTGAGTCATTTTGCTGTACAGAGGTTGGCACAGCACTGTAAATCAGCTATACCTCAATTAAAAAAAAAAAAAAGAAGTGTAGAAGTCGAGGTGGAGAAGGGTAGGGGAGAGATAGTTCACTGCCAGAACAGATCTCATAGCAAGAGGGAATCCAGGAGGAGGAGAGCTGATTTTAGAAAGTAGGAAATATGGCAATATTTGTGTGTGTGTGTGTGTGTGTGTGTGTGTGATGTTAGAGCACTAGATTCTGAGAACGGAAATAGAGGGAAGAAAAAAGGGTCTCAGACTTATCTGGAGTAGAAAGATAAGTTGCTGGGCTTTTCAATTCTTAGATCCTTTTACACTAACTGCTCTCCTGTCTCTTTAATGCTCTTTCTTTAAAGAAAGTTTTAAAGCAATGTCACTCCGTAGGAAAAACAAAACAAGGGAAAGAAGTATATATGTCACTGCCACTGATCAGTACCCATGTCACTGATGATCTTGTTCTATGATTACTTTTCAGGTAACAAGTTTGTGTATTTTTTTTCCTGTCTTGTTTTTATATCTGTTGCTAGAAAATTCAAAGCAAGAGAAAAGAATCCTCAATAATCTACCACTATGAGAGCAATTAATCACTTGGTTCCAAAAAAAAAAGGGGAAAGAGGTAGGGTACAGAGGACCTAGAAGAAATCAGTGGGATCAACCGCTCATCCTTCTGTTTGTCCACTCTCTGTCTCATTGTGGGTCTTCTCAAGGTCCTGGGATTACCCTTTAGAGTGGATATAACTCATAATGGGTTTGATCTTACTATTAATTTTTAGGCAATGATTTTACCATATGGAACTCCCTTCTTTACTTGATGTTCTTAAAGGAGAAGCTAACTGGTCAGATTTCAGTGAATCCTTTAAATAAGCAGGGGGTGCACTGCAGCAGTGCTGCCTCTCCAGGGTTCACCTTCCACCTTGTCATCACAGGTAGGGGGGCCTGCTCTTCACCGGCTTAGGTCCCCATGTAGGGACATCAGAAACCCAGGCTTTATTCTTATAAGCTTCATTACTTCTAAAACCTACTTATCAAAACAAGGCTATAATTATTATTGTCTCACATGCTTGGTGAGACAAAGCTTAGTAATACTAGGAACTAAAACATTCTCATAATTAGAACTTGCTGATCAGAATGAGTTTATTATGTTTACCTTCTTATTCTAGTATATGCCATGCATCAAAAACTTGACATTAGGTCTTCCCTGGTGGCGCAGTGGTTGAGAGTCCGCCTGCCGATGCAGGGGACACGGGTTCGTGTCCCGGTTCCGGGAAGATCCCACATGCCGCGGAGCGGCTGGGCCCGTGAGCCATGGCCGCTGAGCCTGCGCGTCCGGAGCCTGTTCTCCGCAATGGGAGAGGCCACAACAGTGAGAGGCCTGCGTACCGCAAAAAAAAAAAAACCAAAAAAAACAAAAAAGAAACTTGACTTCGTTCTCTTTTCTTTATCTCTGAAATGGAAATATATACAAGAAATTTTCAAAAGGAATTAGTATAGATTTATATCATACTTTAAAGAAGTTATTATACAATAAGCATTTTTCATGCTTTTATCTATAAAGATATAGGGGATATATATATATATATTTATTTATATATATATCCCTTCATAATTTACTCTATTTACTATTGTTTTCCACTATATGTACTTTATTTGGCTTTTAACTTTTCACTATTATAAATAAACCTTTATATGCAAGTAGCTTTTTCCATAGTTAATTTTCTTAGCTTTGAGTCCAAGGAAACAAATAATGAACCTAAGTATGTAGTAGTTAGGAGCACAGGTTTTGGAGCCAAACAGACCAAATGCCAAATTCCAACTCTGACATTTACCTGTGACAATTTATTTTTATTGTTGTCTTGGCATTTTCTTCTGAAATATTGGGGTAATGCTACTTAACTCACAAATTTGATTGTGATAAGCAAAATAATGCTTCTATATAGCAGTTGAAACAGTGCCTGGAATAAGTAAGTGCTTTGTTATTGTCTACATTTTAATTATTGTCTACTAGATTACAAAAATGTTTCTCAAATGTTTTTAGTAATATGGAATGACACTAACAAAGTGTGAGAGCACCAACCTGCTTTGCATATTTTTCTCTCTGTAAATGTTATAGGAAGTTTCTAATTTACTTTTTTACTTTCAATTTACAAATCTAAGACATGAAGATACCAGAGCCTAATTAATCCTTACATTTGGAGGTATGAAGCATCTCTAATTAGAGTAGCTATTACACATTATGTGTAAATATTTAACTGACACAAAAGCTCTCTGTCGGAAGACCTGATCTCTTCCGTTATAGAGATAAAAAGATATTCTCACTTTTTAAATTGTAAACATATCAGAGAGGAATGAAGCAGCATAGAAGTAGCAACCTTTTTTTTTTAACACTGCTGTGTATATGCCAGAATTTTTGCTAGACATTTGAATCATATTTTTCCTAATGTCGTAATGATCCCTATTGTATTATTTACATTTCTCAGATCACTGTATGTAATTGTGATTTATTTGCCACATTCCCTTCTAGGACAGAGGCATGATAGAATGAGGACAACTGTGGGAAAAGGGATAGGACTGAAGGGGCAGAGAAGCTACCAGTGATAACCTGTGATGATCAGTTCTGTCCTGTAATCATCTCATCCCAAAGCCCCATAACTTCCTGTTCTGATTGTGCCCATTAGGCAAAGCAGCCTGCACCATTTTCCCCCATGGAAACAGTGGGCAGGAAACTTGCCTCTGAGACCACACAGTTTGTCATTGGAAAAGCTACAGGCAGTCCTTTCCACTCACTCTGCCCAAACCCCTTCCCAGAGTTGAGGCAGAACAGTGACATAAGGTCCCTTAAATTATCCAGTAGAAAGAAGCCTAGATACCTTTGTTCTAATGCACACTGTTGCAGGCACTGACTATGAAGCTCACTTCCTTTGGCTAAAAGTATGTGACTCCAGAGCACAAGCTAATTAATGTTATGCCAATATTGCTTTTCTTTGCCACTGAGGAGATTGATTAGGTATGTATCCTGTTTTTATTTAAGCTGTACAGCTTTTCCATTCATAACTCTAGGGGAAAACCATTGCTGTAGCAAATGCAAAGACCCAGGGCAATGCAGACTCTGGGTGCTGATTTGGGGTTTCTACCGCTGTTACCAGCCAGAGCCAGAACCGAGCTCAAGGTCAGCTGCTCATCGCTCAAAAGTCAATGTTTGAGAGACAAGGGTTGGTGGAAAAAGAAAGATGCTGTCTTCAGGAAGCCGCCAACCTGGGATGATGGCAGACTGTTGTCGCCCAAAGCATCTCCCTCTTGTTGGTTAGAGGGAAAGGGTTGTATAGGGAAAAGCCAGGAAGTTTCAGGGGTGTGCAGGCAGGGGCCATGTGCAGAACAGCAGTCAGCCCCGACAGTCATTTTGAAACTGGTCATGTGGTCGTCTGGTCAGCGTCATCTTGATTGTTTAAAGCAGTTAGTCTTCAACTCCAGGGTCTCCTTGTTCCCATTTCCTTGAGGCCAGTTCCTGGAATTGTGCAAGCCATAGATTCAGTACTGCTCAAGATGCAGCAGCTTACATTATGGCTATAGTCTGGTCATCTGGCCAGCTTTTTCCCTCTGGTGGTGGTTATAGTATCTGCAAAACAACTCAGGAATGTGTATTGGACACTGTTATCTATGTCCTTCGGGGAGGAACTACAGATTCTGTGACTCTATTGTCCTAACCATTAATTGCTTGAGCCTTTTGTGACTCGGGATGCCTGGGAGACTGCAGCTTTTCTACAAACAAGAGACAGGGAACACAGAAGGGCTTTCGTAACTGGGAGGGCCTCACAGGGTTCTGCTCGGTTTCACTAACGTGAATGTGTGACCTAGGTTGGTTCTTTCCCTGATTGGCTCCCAGATTCCTCCTCTGTAAAAATGAAGCAGTCGGTTCCTTGCTTTCCTTGGTCCATTCCAGTATAAGCATCCTATGGACTAAAGTGTTTAGTAATGGGCAGGAGATGACCATAGATTTTATGGGGCTCCACCTAGTGGCTTTGCCCCATATTGCAGCTCTAAGTTCTACCCGGTTTTCTTAGGCCTTCAGTGAGGTGCCTCAGATAGTTTTGGTTTGCCCATCATACAGTATGTTCGTAATTAGTAGAACAGGGGAGAATGGAGCGGAGTGGTAAGAAGGGGAGAAGGAAAAATACTTATTTTGACTCTCACATTTAGTAAAACCTCAAATTTAGACTTTGCTATTATCTGTAATTGAGATAATATAGACAGCTACTGAGTCTGTGAATGCATATGTTTAAGCATTAATTAATTAAATGTAAACATTAAAATGTGATTCAATTTTTGAAGCCATGTATCAGTATCATCATTTAAAATAATTAGAACTGCAGCCTCAAATAATGGAAGAAGTTTAAACTATTCTTACTTTCGAGAAATCTCATATGTAGAGAGCACAGTCACTGCGTGCCAAGCAAAGTTCTGCTGTGGTAGATTCCTTGAGAGAAAAGTTCTTAGGGGAGGTAAGAAAAGCATGTAAAAATAATTAGTCCTATAAAATAATGAAGATGTTTTCACCAAGCACCTCCTCTGTCATTATGTTGAACACGGGGCCTAGAAAGATGCAGGAGACATGGTTCCTAACATCCTCAAGAGATTGATAGTTCATTAGGAGAGACAGATGTTTATAAACATATTCACAATATTACATATAAGTATATAAGCTATAATAGAGAGTTTTTTTGGTTTTTTTCAGTAACTACAGTGGTAATACAACAGAGACATCTATTTTGTTGGGAGAGTTAAGGAATGCTTCATGGAATCAAAGGCACAGAATATTGTAGAAGAATGGAATAGAAAAAATCCTTCACAGAATAGAAGCTGGTGCTTAAAGGATAATTCAGTATTTTCAAATAGGATGGGAGGAGCTCTTCAGAGAAATTGAAGAGCATATAATGGTGCATGTTAAGTGGAAAATGATTCACAGCACTGATGTCAAATGTGTAAGTGTTTAGAGACTGAGGAAAGTAAATTTATCTTTTTCCTGTTCTATTTGCTTGGACAGAAGCCCTGCCCCTACATGCATTTTTTTTTTTTTTTTTCTGAAAGGACTGAAATCAGCATAGTCATGACTACAATGTATGTTTGAAATGAGTGTTGACGTGCTTGTAAAGAATACAGGCTTTTGAGGCTACAGACCTTGCTTTGAGTCCTAGCTCTGTGCCTTCTAGCTAATTAAACACGGGAAGCTGTTTAGCTCTTTGAGATTCCTTTACTCCTTTGAAAACGTGAGAAATAATAATAATCACTACATAGAATTGTTATGAAGATTAAATGTGAGCACAAATAATATCAGGAACGAAAGTGAGGCATTATTATCAGATATGAGAAAAATTAAAATGACAGAACAGTGAAAGACATTTGCTAACAAATAGTGAAATTTTGATAAAATGAGTAAGAGTAAGTTATTTTATTTATTTTTTAAAAATTTTTATTTATTTATTTATTTGGTTGCCCCAGGTCTTAGTTTGTGGCAGGCTGGCTCCTTAGTCACAGCTTGCCAGCTCCTTAGTTGTGGCACACGAACTCTTAGTTGCAGCATGCACATGGGATCTAGTTCCCTGACAAGGGCTGAAACCCGGGCCCCCCCTGCACTGGAAGCTTGGAGTCTTAATTGCTGTGCCACAGGGGAAGTCCTAAGAGTAAGTTACTTTAAAATGCAATTTATTGTAGCATACATAGATGTATTATAAAAATTGAATAGTTCTATATCTAGTAAGGAAATGTGTCTCAAAATAAAAACCATCCCACAAAGGAAACTCCAGGCACAGATAAGTTTAGTGGTGAATTATTCCAAACATTTAAGCAAAAAAATAACACCAACCTCTGCTAAATTTTATTAGAGAATAGAAAAAAAGGGAACACTTCCAATTTTACTAGGCCAGTATAATCTTGATAACAAAACCTGATACCGACATTATAAGAAAGAAATATTACAGGTTAATATCTCATAAACATAGATGCAAAAATCCTAAATTATATTAGCTGATAACTGAATCAAGTGAGATTAAGGTGGGTTTATTTCAGATTGTTTCAATATTCAAAAATCAATATAATTCACTATATTTAGAAAATAAAGGAGAAAATTATATGATAATCTCAATAGTTGCAGACAAAAGCATGGATACCTCTCAACATCCATTCATGTTATAAACCTGTAGCATACTAGAAATAGAAAGAAACTTCTTTAATATGTTAAAGAACATCTACCAAACCTTCCCTGTATACTTCACAATTAATGGTAAAATCTTTGAAGTTTGCACCATGAGATCAGGAACAAGATTAAGATGCCGACTATCACCTTTTTTGTTTAACAATATACTGGAGATCCAGTTAGAACAAATGGTGTGACTATTGGAAAGGAAGAAATAACTGTCATTATTTGTGGATAACATGATTATAGATGTGGAAAATCCGAAAGGATCTCCAGATAATCTATAAGAATTAGCAAGTGAATTTAGTAAATTCAGCATACAAATATCAATTTGCATTTTATATACCAGCAAAAGTGATTAGAAAAAAAAATTAAAACTACATAGCTAATGAATGATGTACAAGGTCTCCCTCTACACAGAACACTATGAAACATTATTGAGAGATTTTAAACGTACTTGGCTGGATCCAGATCAAAGACAAAAACATTCAAAATTGCCCATAAAATGTTAGCACTAATTGCACGCAAGCCCCCATTAGGAGACAACCTATTAATTGCTCATCATAGGATGGTTTTAAAAAAAGTTCTGTGAAAACTGTCATTGATTTCAAAGCTTTGTTCATGTCTGGCAGGAAAGGTTGTGGTATGTCTTATGAGTGTCTGGAACATCAGAGGAGCTAAAGAAGGTAATGTTACTAGTGATCTTCAAACTGCAGCTGAGTGAGGGTGAAGAAAATGGAGCGGGCTGGTGGAATAAATTAATTTTTATGCATGTAAAGCTACCATGCGGATCCAAAGGCAAGCAGCAAGTCACCTGACTTAGTTTTTCAGCTGCAACTAAGGCATTGTAAATATTAACAATAATTTCTGTCTTTTGATTCAAGATTAATGTGTACCCCAATCTAGCTTTTTTTGTAAAAGTCATTTATAGTCTGTCCTCTAACTGGTGACACTAAGGCCACATGGTGAGAAATATTAGGACAATGGTATTCAAAGCATGGATAAATTTTTTGTACCTACTGTTAGGCTTGTAGATTTATTGAGCACATACTATGTGTCAAGTGCTTTAGAAGAGGTTTTACACATATAATAGCTGTTACATATTTTGGTACCTTTCTTAAAGATAAGGGAATGAGACTAAGGGAATGAGACTCAAAGAGGATATGCAACTTGTTCAAGGCACCCAGATAGTTAAGAGTCAAAAGTCAGTTTTGAACTCAAACTTACCTGACCCTAAAACATGAGCTCTTTTCTTTATACCATGATGCCTGCAAACTTGATGTGTGATAAATTGTTTAGCCCAGTATCTGATATATCATTAGTATTCAATAAGTTCTATTATTATTGTTATTAAAATATGACTAAGTCTCATAAGGAGCCCCTCTTTTTTTTTTTAATGAGTTAGAGCCTGAATCTCTATCCAATCAACGATTGCTTCTTCTTGGCGGCACACATTATGAAAAACTATAGGGATGATAATGCAAAACATGGTAGAGGTAGATCTCTCTAAGCTTTTCTCTCAAGAAGTAACAGTTATGATAGTAAGTGAAGGAAGCTAGGATTTAACAAAATCTGTACGGTGGGCTATTTTCCCTCTACTATATTCCCTTGGTAACAAACCCTTAAAAGTCTGTGACACTCTTCAAAGAGAAAAAAAGTTTGCTCCAGAACTTTGAGGACTGGTCTATCCCTGCAGTGTATTAGTCATTGGATAAAACCTTAATTTATTTCATAGATAGCAATCCTGAAAGCACCATAAATAAACTGCTAGGACCTAAATTAGTTCTTCCATCTTGAATGGGTTAGATTCTTGTGGCCAAAGGATTTGCAATAAAGGAATCTCTTTCTGCCTTTTGAGTAGGTGACAGATTAGAAAGATGCACGATAAAATTCCCCGTACATACTAGTGCGAACTTCAGAATTACGCCTGAGTAGGTATATTTCAAACAGTAGGATGATTATGGAAAGTTACAACTACTTGTCTTAAAATTTTTATATAAGCTAGACTGCTTAATATGGTTAAATAAAAAATCAAAAGGAAGAGGGACCATCTACGCTCTTTGATTTAGTTAATGCAACATATCAAAATTATACATTAGCTTTGTGCAAACAAGAACAATAAAATCTTGAAATTTAACTCTTTATAATTACTCAAATTTTCAGGCAATGTTTCCTCCTCCTCACTTCTCAGTTCTACCTGTACGGATCTTAAATATCTTCATGGTTCCGTGCTGCATCCTTAGCCCACTTGAAGATTTTTTTCCCATAAGGCCTGTTATGTGGTCACTTGTATGCATAGTTTCTGTATAAATATC